ACCAAGGAAACAAGAATCTGAAGCGGATATCCTTGAATAGCCACCAAAAGCACTGCTCCTTTTTGTTCTCTGTGTTTGCTGCAGCCGCCAAAAGAAAACCCCGCACAAAAACTCTTCCGCAGCCGCTCCTTTGATTCCACGAAAAAAAAAATCTCCAGCCTTGCACACATTGTGCTCACGAAACCCTAGAGAATTTATAGCCTGTGCGGAATCGGGTTTTCGGGTGGGCCTACGCACAGCAACCAATTTTCTTCACGCGGTTGCTTTTTCTCAGCTCACGCGGTTCCGCTTCACGTGGTTCATGGGCCCCACGTTCACCCCCCCCCCCAATTCCCCGCCTCTACCCTCATAAATGCGAACTCGACAAACAAAGTTAAAAATTAAGATTTCTCTTACCCTTCCCTCCTCTTGCTATCCTCCATCCCAAATAGACCATAACGTCGCCCCCCCCCCCCCCCCGCCCCCGCCCGCCCGCCGCCGCGCCCGCGCCCGCGCCCGCACCCTTCTTTTTCATTTCTCCTTACAGCATATAGGTTTACGCGGAAAAAAATACTACAAAACATAGGAGAAGATTGGGAGTTGATTTGCAATGATGGTTAGGATTAAAACCAGAAAAAAAAATCAAAACTATTGAGCCATCAGTGATAGCTCTCGACCATCGATGTTGTTGAAGCAACCATTGATGGTTGATGACCCCATCGATGGTCTGACCTCTCTAGACTTTTGCACAATTGATGATCTATAGCATCATCCATCATCTCACGGTTAGCATTGATGGTCAATGTGGAACCATAAATGACATGCCGGAATTAGCTTTTGAGCTAATCTTTTTTATTCTTTCCGTCTCATTCTTGTTCCATATATGGATATTCCCGTACTAGATCATCTCAAACATAGATTAGACTCAAATAAATATTTGTTATTATTCAAATAAGAGATCATGTACGTACAATGTCCATTTCATTTGTCATTTATAGGTAGGGTGTCAAAGAATTATGTGAGGCACCCAAAGTTCAAAGGGTTTTATGGAAAAGAAAAAAATTTGGATGGTAAAATTGAAACCTATTTTCTGTAATTGCCAAATGACGTCTGACGTATATGATGAATATGGGTGCCATATGTCTGAGAGGGTATTTTCGATAAAATAAAGTGGAGATAACTAAATATATTAATGGTCACATCTATATATTAAGTGGCAATTAGAAATTTAAAAAGCTATAAGTTGTCCTTAAGGATCCGTGTAATTATTTTATTCGATTTAATAGCTGGTTAACATTAGGTATGATGGATAACTTACATGAGAAAGGGACAACATGGACGATGACTTGGAGACAGAAATTTATTATATGACTTCAATAAAATATGAAATGATTTAATAAATTAGTGGGTCACTTGAATCCCCAAAGCTAAGCTGGAATAATTTGAATGCATAAAATTATTCAAAATTATTGATTTATGTATCATCCACCAACTCGGGAGGATTAGCACATGAGTCTATGAATAATCATCCTTTACTTTCCCAGAAATAACTAGTGGATTCCTATAAGAAAAATACACGTATCCGCTTCAATATTTAATAAGCATAATTGACATTAAAAATATGATTATTATTATTACTAATTAGTATCGATATTGTCATTACTAAAACATACCAAGATATTTTGAGCATATACTTGCGCTCCTAATTGTAAACTCAGAAACAAAAACATTCCTATGATTTTTACAACAAATAATTGTTTCCGCAGAGAAAAAAAAAATTAAATGTGGATAGAGTCGACCCTTGCGCCATGCCCTGCCCTGCCCCTATTATGTTCCAACAAGGGATAAACTCCTTATAGTTCTATTATTGCAGATAGATGGCACGAGGTAATTTTTTTGACTTTTTTAGAAAACAATGTTTTTTCCCGACAAGTAGACTTTCAGATAGTGAAACAAAAAAAAAAAAACAAAACAAAACAAAAACAAACAAATAAACAACGGGGTCTATTAGCAATTGGGCGAGAACACAAGAAGTCTATTAGTTACAACTGAAATAGGGGTGGTCGTGGGTCGGTTCGAACCGCGGCCTAAACCGGGCCTAGCCCATCTCGGGTCAAGACTTGGCCTGACCCACTGTGAGTCAAACCCAATCTGATCTATGGAATATCCGGGCCATGGGTGAGGCTGGGTTTCGCTCTAAACCCGTGGATAAAGAATTGGTATGGCCCACGCCTGACCCAGCCCACATCCGAACCGGCTCGGCCCACCTTGGTCCGGCCCACTTTAGGTGATAGTTTTATTTAGATGTAATTTTAGTAGCAACTCAATCTGAAATTGCAGCCTTCAAGTGTTTGGGTTGGAATTTTAGTATTGGTAGAGATTTTCTAAATTCTATTAAGTATTTTGATGTGTATTTGGAGTCATTTTGATTTACTGAAAGCATTCAAGCTACTGTGAATCTTTTGTCATTTGAGATAGTTTCATCACCAATTATAAATTTATAAGGTTTAGACTTTACAGAAATATGAAATACATGTTTCTCTCTTTAAATTATACATACTAATCTAACAAAAAATTTGGAAAGAAAACACGATTAGCGACCTGACTTTTCATGGGTCGGGTCGGACCCGGCCCGATCCCATGCGAGCTATGGGACAAGCTTGTCGATCCCTAAACCCGGAAATAAAATCCTCGGCCCGACCTATTGAAGCCCGTTCGGACCCGGGTCTAAATCGGCCAGACCCAAAATTAGGCTGGCCGGCTCACGGTTAGGCCCGCGCCCGGCCTAACCAACGCCCACCGCTAAACGAAACTACAGAGATCGATCCTCAAATGGCCAATTGTGCATGGTGCCTATATCCGCATTTATAAAAAATAAAAGCAAAAGACTGCTTAGAGTCTGTTAACCCACGTTAACGAACTCACTTTACGAAGTGGTCAATGTTGATAAACTCACAAGTGTCAAAAAAAACCCAAGCAAAATCACATGATTTCTCATTTGACTAAATCTTTCTCGTGCACAACAACTATCAAGGCACCGATCCAAATTGTACTTGAAATAATTAAAGAAACACAAATTCTTATAGAGGATCTATTTGTTTCCACAGAAATATTATAGAGTTATTTCTTTAATCAAATTGATTAAATTTTACCATTACTCTAACAATAAGCAAAATCCTCGTGAAGCAAACGACCGTAGAATCTAAACTCTAAGGTCGCTTTTATGCCATAAACCAAACGTTTACGCTATAATCTGTAATTAACAACTATTTAATTTACATGTTGCCCACTTGCCCCCGTGGAGTGTCCCGTAAATGGCAATATCACTTGACCCCACTTTTGTACGAACTTTCTTGGGGCTCCGCGCTCATGGACCCACAATCGTTAATTATTAAAGGTGAATTTATGGGTTTGTTTTGAACGGGGGAGCGTCAGGAGTAAAAGCGTTATTCGGCAATTGGTAACGGACACGTGTCGGTCCGGGGCGCCGCCGCTCTGCCGTGAAGGTCAAGTCGTTGCGGATTCGTGCGACGTTGCGGTTCCCCCACCAAAGCTTGGGGACCAAGTTATTCTTTGAAAGGTAGCAAATTACAGAAATGTCATTGTTGTGTATAAATTTACGGAATTAGTCATTGAAACTAAATAGAACCTATAAAGTAATTTAAAAATCACTAGTGTCTTGTTTCTATAATAGTGAAATAAACAAATTGAAAAAAAGGGGCGTAGCGCACTTGCTTAGACCTCAACAATACTTTTTACTGCTGTTCATGAGGTGTAAAGAGTTTCAATGGTTGATGATTGGGAAAGAGCAAGATTATATTTTTGAGGGATTCTAAGCTTTAAAATTGGAGCTTTGCTACAGGGACCCAAAATATGGGACCAATAGAGGAGACAAGTGAGGTGTCTCTCTCCTATTGGATAATGAGTTGGCCATCATTAATGATGGCCAACTCATTATCCAATAGGAGGGAGACACCTCACTTGTCCCCTCTATTGGTCCCATATTTTGGGTCCTTGAGGAATTTTTCTTAAAATTGCAATACTATGTTTCTTGAAATGAATAAGATTTTAGTTATACGAAAATCTATGTTTTACATCATTGACGTTTTCTTGCTTGACAAAACTGGACCCGCAGAAAATTAAAGATTATGACCATTAAACCCCCCTTCTGTTAAGAGATAAATTATTTTTAAAGAAAATTTTTAATAATACCGAATCCATTGCATAATAGTTCAAAAAGAGAACTCTCATATTAGTATTTTTATTTTCAAAATATCATCGGGTGTTTGGTTGCACAAATTTATAGAAAAGTTTTCTCAAAATGTCTGACAATGATAATTCTGTAATTAAATTTTTTTCTGTAGATTTTCGTAAACCGTTTCTGGTTTAAAAAATTTACAAAAATATTTTCTGTAAAGTACAAAAAAGTACCAAAATTTACAGAAATCGATTTTCTCTCAAAATGGGCGAAAATCACCTAGAAATCTGACACCACATTGATATTTTTCTATAAAGTTAGCACTTTTCTATAAATTTAGGGGGTGTTTGGTTCAATTTCTATAAATTATAGGAAATCTTGTTATTTTTTATAAAGTTATGGGTCATTTTCTTGTTTTGAACCAAACAAGCAAAATAAAAAAATAAGAAAATTGGTACATTTTGATTTCTCAAAACTTTTCTTATAATTTTTTTAAGAAATACAAGAAAATCATATTTTGAGTGAAAAATATTTCATATAATTCGTAGAAATTGAACCAAACACCCCCTAATTGTATTGATCCATGATGATCTAATATTCGCTAAACCAACGGTCTTTATTAAATCACTATAAAGCTACTTTATCTTTGAACTCACTTGCAAATAAAACTCAAAAAGTCATTCCCGCGTAAAGAATTCCAGTTTCCTCGGAATCCGTTATTACTTAAAAACAAGAGGCAATTTCGTCATTTTATCAGTGACAAGAGGCCTATATAACGTAGCCGTCGTCGTCGTCTCTCTCGACTTTCACTTCTTAAATCCTCTTCAATTTTACAGCTAGTTTTACCAAATCTTTTTTCTATTCTTAAATCCCCCCTCCCTTTTTTCTTAAAAATAATACCATGACGAATTAGGATTTCTTAATTTTCGAAGCTTTTGATTCTTCAGCAATGGATAATTTGGTTGTTTTTTTGAAGCTGAATTCATTTTGACCTCGGATTAGGCCCAATTAGGGTTCTGGGAGAGTATTACGATCTCAATTAAAGATCAGGACTTGTTCCTCTCAGTTTTCTATTCCATTAAATTCAGACAAAATTCTCCTGTGAATGAGATGCATTCTTTTATTTATTGAAAAATTAGAGTCTGATTCGACGAAGGCAGGGTTCTCAAGATACAATTTTGTTTCCTTTATCTCAATTCTATAATTTCTTGAAAATTAGGTCCCTAATTGGACTAAATTAGGGTTTTATGATCATAACGGAGGACTACGGGTTTGGGGTTGGGGATCCGAAATCGACCCTGGCTAACACCCGCGGCGACAAGACTGGAGGATTCAGTCATGAGAGCGAGCGTGATTTGGCGATGATGGTCAGCGATTTTTGGGAGAATGGTAGCGGCGGAAATGAGTCTAAATATAGCAGCGATAGCGATTCTGGGTGCTCTGATCTTGGTCATTTAGCTGACAAAGTTTCGGTGAGTTATTTATTATTATTCTTCCTATGATTTTGGTTTTGTATCATTTTGTTCCTATCTTACTTGTTGATATATGTATTTGTTTGCTGCAATTTTTATGCGAAGAATAACGTTCAAGAATTTAACATTCCTGAAAGCAATGCGATATTCCTAAAATATCATATATATAATATGATGTATTGTTGGTGATTTTTGTTTGAAATGGTTTGACACTTGCATAATTTTTTTTTGACTCAATTATTGATTCTGCTAAATTCAAGCTTGCATTGATCACCATTTATTTAGTACCTTTTGGGCTTTATCTTTATCTTTTTCTGTTTCATTTTATATTTTGGGTTCCTAATGAAGGATGTCTATTTTATAGTGAAAGCTTTTGACTTTTCATCAAAGGAAGCAAATGGTTGTGATTCCCTCAATAAAGAAGGAAGTGGGCATACTCCGGTCATTTTTCATCTAATAATTTTCTACATGAGTATCACTAGATTTGTGACCAAAACTTTCTGTTTGGTATTTTAGGATCGCTGTATCTCATCTCGAATTGTCTCATCTCTAATTGAATTATCTGTATTTCTACTTTAGTGCCCTTTTTTTAATTTTCTGAAACCTAGATGGGGATATGACTTTGGTGAGCCTCATACTTGTCATATCTAGCCTACCCTCAATAAATGATTAGAAATCTTATGGAAATTCATATGGGTGTTATTAATGAATTAATACTGTTAGGTGGTAGAGAAGTAAAAAGTTCAACAGGGCAGATGGAAATTAGATTATAAAGATGCTTCTCATGAGCAAGGCTATTTCGTTTTAGCTCTAATAAAAGTTCAAATTTGGTTGTATACTCTCATATTGTGTTGGTTGCGTTGACGAGTTGATACCTGTAACACTCTGCCAACTATGAAATGTTGCAGTCGACTATGCAAGATTTCAAGAGCAGCATGCTGTGATTTTCATGGTTTGATTCTAAGCCCTGACTTAATAGATTCCAGCGAGTACAATGTTTGACAATATGGCTAACTAGGCTAATGTTGTTTTTCTCCTAAACGAAACGAATGGAGGGGAGGGGGGAAAACCACACACACACACTGTATGTAGCGTCTTTGTTTTTTTAAAGTGAAACATTATGTTATTTTCCTCCAGATGCCAGGTATGTTGAACTACTTGTATGAAAGCATGTGCAATCATTGTATGCATTATGATATATCTCATAACTATTCAAGTGACGATGACTTGGTTGTTTATTTTATGCTTGAATTTTCCCCACAATTCTTTGTTGACAAACATTCTGTACATGTGAACACTGAACAGTTTCTCATGAAGTTTTGGACTGTTACCATATTGCTTCCATAGTTCTAGGTATACTGACATTGTGGTTTTTGTTCGGATTGTTCCCATCAGTGGAAAGCTTTTGGTCAGCAAATGTTTCCATAGTTTGGGTGT